CCCCCCCCCCCCCCCCCGCCAAGTCTGTGACCTCCTCAGTCATAAGGTTTTGATAAGGTTTATTGTACCAGACATGAAGTCTGTCCTAGGGAGTAAGCCTCAAATATAGTCAAATCAGAAAGCAGTTGATTACCTCCCTAACAGTCAGTCATGCCACTGTTGCACCAGTGGCTGGTGGCCTGCCTTTTCACCTCTTGTTACTGGCCCACAGGTTGTCTTCAACCTTTCTTTCTGTCAACATCTGTGTTCTAGAATCAAACACAGTTTTTGTTATTTTTAATCATGCTTATTTTAAATTGAAAATGGGCTGGAGAGATGGCTCAGTGGTTAAGCACACTGGTTATTCTTGCAGAAGACCTGGGTTCAAATCCCAGCACCCGCATGGTAGCTAACAACTGTCCATAACTCCAGTTCCAGGGGATCCTACAGCCTCCTCTGTCCTCCACAGGCATACCTGCACGACACGGGTGCACTTACCTACACGCAGGCAATACACTCATACACAAAAAATAAAAATAACAAAATAAAAATATTTAAATTTGCAAATGATAGTATAAATGCATTATTTTCCGTTTAAGAATGTAATTAAAATTAAAATCCTATTTAGCCATTCTCATCTTTTTTCCCCCCAAACTCCTTTTTAAAAATAATTTTGGTATTCCTTTTTCAAAGGAATATAACATGTTATATGAGTTTTCCATATGTTATTAATACAGCATTTCCCTAATGTCTTAATGTTTTAGTCATAGCAAAGCTCATCTAACAATCAGAACTCTACAGCCCCACCAGTGCTTCTCTGTAGCCCTTCCCTCTGCTGCTCTCACAGCTCCTGGCTATGTCCTTACATGATCTACACTGCTTATTCTTACCTGCCCTCTGCCACACCATATGATCTGGTTCTTTGGGCTATGTGTCCACAGACGAGAATCCTCATTTCCACACAAAACCTGGATCCCATGGTTGAGACTGCTTTTTATTATTGCTTTTAATTTCTATAAATGTCCCACTTTTTTGTGTGTGGGGAGGGGTGTTGGGAAGGATCTGAGTTAGGATACCACACTGTAGCCCAGGCTAGCTTTACATTTGTAGCAGTTCTCCTGCCTAAGCCCCTGAATGCTATAATTATAAGTGTGGGCCACCATGCCCAGCTTAACTTCCCCTTTCCCCCCACTCTTAAAATCAGAGCTGATTTCTCTATCCTTTTATAAATAGAGCACTTATTTTAAAATAAAGACAAACTTATATGCAGCAGTTATACTGGTCATAATTTGAAATATTAAATGAAACTGCCAAATAATATACTTGTATTTGAAATTGCCAAAACCGAATTGTTTAAGAAATTTCCAGCACTTGGGTGGTAGAGATGGAGGCCAGCTTGGTCTAGACATGTTCCAGGGCAACTGGGTCTACAGGGAGACTCTCAACACCACCACCACCACCACCACCACCACCAAAAAGAGAAAAAAGAAAAGAAATTTGAATAACGTGTTTAAAGATACCTTTGTTGAGAAATTTAAGAAATAATTTTGGATAGCTCTTGAACAAATTTTGTTTTCCTTTTTAATTTCATAGGTTCTAATATTCTTCTGGCTAGAATGGCAACTAGAAAAGCAAAACCAGATGGGCAATACCACTTACAACCAGACGAAGTAGATGATTTTATCAGAGGTCAGCTAGTTACTAATCTACCAGGTAAGCCTTTCATTTAAGCATTTATCTATTATCGATTATAGATATTCATAAGTACTTTTCATGGCTTTCCTTTTGTATTTTGAATTTTGTTTGTTTTAGGCAGGTTCTCAATATGTGGCCTGGATGAGCCTCAAAATTCACTTGACCAGGTGGTGGAATTACAGGCATGCACCACCATGCTCACCTTTATTTTTCTCTGTTTCTTTTTAAACTATATTAAGGGCCATGAAAAACAAAATGAAATTGAACATCTATTGTCCTGTCAGTTGATTGTTTATTTTAGTTTTGTACCTAAAAGATTCTATTTTGAAGATTTTTCACTGGAGATGTAACTTAGGTGGAGTGCCATCCTAGCATACCTGAGGCGTTAGGCTTGATCCCTAGCACCACATACATAAACCCTGTTAGCACAGAGACCTGTAACCCAAGCATTCTAGAGGTGGTAGGAGGTGGATCCAGAGTTTAAGATAATCATCTGCCTCAGCCAGCTCTTAGCCAACCCAAGCCCAAACAAAGTATTCTGTCAATCCATTTAACATGACTTGAGGTGAACCCACCTTCTAGAGGTGGTTCTATGACCAGGTGATTGACCAGTGAAACTGGAAAGGTGGCTCTTCCAACAGATTTGACAATAGATTTTATTTTTTGACTAGTTAATTTTATGGGGCTTTTTGCTACTCTTAACAGATTCATACCATAAATTCTTAAACAATAATCTGTTACTTAATTAGTTGATTTTGTGGATAAGAGTAATTTTAATATTAGTCACAAAATTACATTTTAAAATATTATCTTTATGTGTATGAATGTATTGCCTGCATGTGTGTAAGTACACCTGTGTTGTGCAGTGCCTGGGGAGGTCAGAGGAGGGCGTCTGATTACCTGGAGCTGAAGTTATAGACACCATGTGGATGCTGGAAATCAAACCTGGGTCCTCTGTAAGAGCAGCCATCTCTCCAACCCCCACAAAATTGCTTTTTTTTTTTCCTTTTAAAAATTTAATTTTTATATTTTTGGGGCTGGAGAGTTGGCTCAGCAGTTAAGAGCACTGACTGCTCTTACAGAGGACCTGGGTTCAGGCTCAGCAGTTAAGAGCACTGACTGCTCTTGCAGAGGACCTGGGTTCAATTCCTAGCACCCACATGGAGGCTACAAACGGTCCTTAACCCCAGTTCCAGGGGAATCTGAAGCCCTCTTCTGACCGCCGCGGCATTGTATGACACAGGTATACTCACATACATGCAGGCAATACACTCATACACATAAAATAAAAATAATAAAAAAAGTTTTTTAAATGATGTGTGTATGAGTATATTATTGCTTACATGTATGTAAGTGCATCCATGTCCTGCAGTGCTTGCAGAAGTCAGATGATGATGTTGGGTACCCTGGAACTGGAGTTATAAATGACTGTTAGCTACCACTTGGGTGTTGGGAATTGAACCTGGGTACTCTGCAAGAGCAGCCATTGTTACCACTGAGCCACATCTCCAGCTCCATGTCACTAGTCTTAACACAGACACCAAGTAGACTGGTAAGCTCCAGTCTTGTTTCATGGCACAGAGCTAGAGAAGGTCAGGGCATAGTGGACCAGTGCTCATAAAAGCAGGATCCCCTAGGTCCTGAAAGGGCCTAGCAGCATCCTCAAGTTCCAAGTAAAATTTGAGTATAGGCATATCCTGTTAAAGACGTATCTCCTTTCTTAAATTCTGAGCTAGACATGAGGACTGTCAGTTTCAGATTAGGATACAAATGCCACCATATACCCAGGGACGGTTAAGCCTGACAGGTCCCAAGGCTGACACTGAGAACACAGAACAGACTCAACACAGAAAACTGAGCACTTGCTTTTGTTATATTCCTAACTGTATTTTATGTCTTTGTGGAAGAAGACACCTGGCTTGATGGACACACCTATAATCTTTACTCCTGAGAGGCTGAGGCAGGATTGCTGAGTTTAAGGACAACCAGGGATATACAGTGAGATCCCATCCCAAACAAACATACCCCTCCACCTCAAACAAAATAAAAAATGAGGCCCTGGAGTTCCCAGATTCAAGTATGCTCCTGGGTCTGGTCCATTGCTGCAGGAGTCCGGGGGAGGGCCATACATGTTTGGGCTGTTTACCCACCAACATTAAACACCAATATAGAAGACATGACAACCAGGTCAACTCCTTCCTCCAAGACACATGTTGATTTTATAGAGTGGCAGCCATTGTGGGAAACAATACTCTTCCTTGGAAGTGGACTGTGAGGAGGTGCCTGCAACACTTGTAACATACTGTCTTCTCTCCTGACCTCTTCTTTCAGTCTTTGAAAGCAGAAAATAATCTCTGAAGATACTTGATAATTAAAAAATCCCCAAAACACTTCCAGTGTTTCATGCTTTTGAAAAACCTGGTCTAGATCAGCCAGCATATGAGCTGATTGATGCATTCACCCTGATAGCCAGGCGAGCCCATCTCCTCGAGGAATCGCACCGTTCTTGGTAGCATGACAGGCCACAGAGAGGTGGAAAGAGCACAAGAATGAGGCGGCGGTCTCTGGGAAATGCTTCCCCAGGAAGGTAGTTTCATGGATGAGGTCTTCTAGTCAAATGACTCCCAATCTCCCTAGGTGTCTGTCAGAGGGATAGTCTTATTCTGTATCTGGGCTTGTCCATGTTTCAAGATGAGTTCCCAGACAGACTTCAGATTTCGAAATCCCCAGGTCACATAAGGCTCCACTACGTATAGCATTTTTATGCTATGGGGGTAACTTCGACAGAGACACCACTGAACAGTTTTCTTTAGATGAAGTCCAGCAGTGGTGTTCTGCACCAGTGAACTCACCCCTTGAATCTTTCCACGTGTACAACAAAGGCCAAGGAATGTTTATCAGACACTTCCAAACCATGGTGTTTCACTTCCAGTCACACGCTGTCCCGCTGCTGCTGCCAAGAATCATGCACGGATGACTCCAGTTGCTTAAACCTGAATTCTTTCACTTCCTCCCTCTGCCAAAAGTGCCTGCTTTGCCTGAGTGGTTTTAAGGGCTTGATAAGTCTTCCTCTTTTTCAGATTTTCTGGAACCAAAGGGATCCGAGGGATCCTTTTTCTTTCTGGTTCCTCTGCCATCTTTCTGGTGCTCCAAAATTACATTTTAAGATAAAACTTGTTTTAAATTATTTTGTGCATGCATGTATAAGTGAATATTACCAAAATTTTGATAGTTTATTATGCATAATTAATTATATATGTATATATCCCTTTTTCCAGGAGTTGGGCGCTCAATGGAATCTAAGTTAGCATCTTTGGGAATTAAAACTTGTGGAGACTTACAGTATATGACTATGACAAAACTCCAAAAAGAATTTGGTCCCAAAACGGGTCAGATGCTTTATAGGTTCTGCCGTGGTTTGGATGATAGACCAGTTAGAACAGAAAAGGAAAGAAAATCTATTTCAGCTGAGATCAACTATGGAATAAGGTTTACTCAGGTAACAGATTTATATTTATATCCGTTTTCTCTAACCTAAAACTCTTGGTGATTGAAATTAAATATTAAAACTGTTGATTTTTCTCAGACCCTCAGGAAGGACTTTTTAAGCAATTCCTGATATGGTAGATCCCTAAATAACAGTGAAGAAATCCAGTTCTTAAAAATAGATGCAAAATATTTTGCTTTTGGAAAAAGCAATTTTGAGTTATAGAGACTCCAATTTCCAATGGAGGGCAAAAAGGCCAGACAAGTATTTTGAGTGTTGAATGCTTTCTTGCTTGAGCTAATTAAAAATCAGTTTCATCTTACTTTAGATTCTATCTAAAGGTATATGCCTCTAGATATTAGTGGCACAGAGTGACTAAGGTTTCTTTTCCTTAAGAATATACACTGGATTTAAGTATGTCTCTGATCTAGTTCCACAAACACTTTACATCATGAGGATTGGAACTTTGATGAGGGCTTGGTCTTTGAAACTTTCATGTAGGAATTCAGGGCACCAGAGTTGGAATTCACATTTTATCAATTAGAAGTTAAGTAATTAATTAACATTTCAGAAGAGGGGGCAGAAAGATTTTAACCAGTGGTGGTGCATAATCATAAGGAAACAGTCTTCCAAGTTTCTGGGAACTTGGCTCATACGCACTTAGAGCAATGGTGGCAGCATGCACAGTCAGACAGAAACCCAGCATGGAACTGGGTAAATCAGCAGGAGGCCTCCAACTTGTGATGAGGAACTATTGGGAGCTGATCACTGCTGGGTGAGGGAGAGTTGGTCTTCTAGGGAGTGAGGCTAGTTAGGCCAAACAGACTGTAGTAGATGAACTCACACTGACTAACATCTGGGTACACAAACTTGACTCTAGGCCTTAACATATGATAGAATGCATGAAATCCTGTGGGCCGTCTATGGGGACAAATAGGGAAGGAGGTTCAAATATGATTAAGATGTATTGTATGAAATGCCCAAAAATAAACTCTTATTTTGAGGAGAAAACATGATCACAAAAGAATTTCAGTAGGTCAGTGGTAGTATAGAAGTGTAAGAAAGGAAAAATTTTTTTAAAAGTACATAGAGAAGATGGGTATTTTTTCCTTTAAAAAAAATTTTTTTTTGAGAATTACAGACATGATCACTGTATTACCCCACCTACCTTCTCCCTCCTGCAGCCTTTCCCTCCTCCCCTTCCTCAACTTTGTGAACTCTTCTTTGATATTATTACATATCCATCCATACATATCTTTGTATGTGCATGCTTGTGTGTACACACACACACACGCACACACACACACACACAAATACTAATGTACTGAGTCCGTTTAATGGTGCTCACATGTACCTGTGTTTATGGCTGGCCACTTGGGATTGGCTAACCCATAACGAAGCTCATCCCTGAAGTAAGCTATTTCTCCCTCCCTCAGCAGCCATTGATTGCCTGTAGCTCTTCATCTAGACCATGTGAAATTTCTCCCAGAGAAGATGGGTATTTTTATTTACTATACAGTTCAAGGTGAATAGAGAATGTTTCTTTTAAATAAATGCTTAGGATAAGAACATTAGACATGTTCAATTTTAAGAATGAAAATCCTCAAGAATTGTTAGATCAGAGGAAAATAACAAGTGTCTTTCATGTTTGTCTTTCTGTAGCCAAAAGAGGCAGAAGCTTTTCTTCTGAGTCTTTCAGAAGAAATTCAAAGACGACTTGAAGCTGCTGGCGTGAAAGGCAAACGTCTGACTCTGAAAATCATGGTGCGAAAGCCAGGGGCCCCTGTAGAAACCGCAAAATTTGGAGGCCATGGAATTTGTGATAATGTTGCCAGGTAAACTTGCTCTAGAAAAAGTTGATAATTATATTTCAGTGCAAGTTTTTATAATTCAGACAAAATAAAATCAGTCAAGTTTAATAAAGTCCTACAGATTCTGGTGGTGTTAAATTTTCTGTAGAGCCAGGCTGCATCCCTGACTTAGTTTAAAACATCTTTATTAGTCCATTTTCCTGGTATCCAGATACTTTAAAAAGATTTATTTAGTTCACAGTTCTGGAGATAGAGAGGCTAAATATACTCTTTGAACTTTCCTTCCCTAGGTAGTTAGCATCACAGTGGGAGGAACATAGTGCAGATAGAAACCACATGGTAAGGAAGGAAGCCATACAGGACAAAAAAGGCCACCTTTGCTCTTTATAACAACCTTTTCAACTGACCACGTCCCACAACAGCCATATCAGTTCCTTTCAAAAGCAGTGACCTAATCACTTCTTACCCTACCTCTTAATGTCTCTACTACCACACTGGGTACCAGGCTTCCAGCATAACTGTTTGGAGAACAGACCACATCCAAAAACACAACCACAGCCTGTGCCATCCCTCCTTTGGAGTCAACAGGCTGTTAACTTTAAAGTGTAGATGGGGGAAAAGAAGGGTTGCAGAACAGCAGGCCAAGGGGACTGGTATAGTTTGTAAGACTTACTGAGACTTACAAGGAGATTTGCATGTGTTACTGCAAAACATGATTTCAGTAAACCATTTAGAGAGGTAAATGAGTAAATTTACTCTTTGCAAATGAATAAACAGAATCATCTCTGAAAACTGGCTAGAAAGCATTTGTTTAAAACCCTGATTTTGATGTGCAGATCACTTAATGATAAAACCTGATAGAAGATTTGTGACCTATGTAAAATAACTTGGTTTTTTTGTTATTGTTGATATTTGCTTCGTTTGAGATCGGTCCCTCTGTAGCCCCAGCTGGCCTGGAACTCGGTATGTAACCAGGCTGGCCTCAATCTCAAGGAGGTCCACCTTCCTCTGTCTCTGCCTGAATTCTGGGATTGAAGTCTTGTGCCACCACCCCCTGTGAAAATACTTGGTTTTAAATGATACCTAGTCAGCAAATGGCATTCTGTCTGTAAAACCCAAACCAAAGGTTGAAGACTTTTAGCAATGAAAACAATATATACAGATTATAAAGTATACTTTTGGTAAAAATTAGCTTATGTGAAACATAAGTTATATAGATTGTGGTTATGTAAAGTCATGTGATGGCTCTCAGATATAGAAACTCCCAAGTGTGTCATTGATACATTAATGAGAACAAAAGGCAGAACTGAAATAGCATTGTTTATAAAATGTATCTTGTTGCCTTTGTTGTCTTGAAGTATTGTACTTATCTACTTTAATAAGTTATGATATATATGTATTTTAAATGGTAACAGTGTTAATAGCCATTTCTATTTTCCTATTATTTTTATGTGTATGAGTATATTGCCTGCTTGTGTGTAAGTGCACCCATGTTGCTGCAGTGCCCGTCGAAGTCTGCAGAGGGTATCAGATCCCCTGACACTGGAGTTACAGATGATTGTTAGCCATCATATGGTTGCAGGGAACCAAACCCCAGTCCTCTGCAAGAGCAGCCAGTGCTCTTAACCACTGAGCCATCTCTCCATTCCCTAATGGTCATTTCTGTGTTTAAACTGGTTATTCAGTCCTGAAGTAGGAATATAGTTAACATTCTTAAACATGGTTTCTGTGTGTGGGTGTGAGAGAGAGGGAAGGTGGGGGGAGAATGTGAGAATGAATATGAATGAATCAGGTCCAATTTCTGTGTATTTTTGGGAAAGAACTGTAGTAATAAAATACTGCTTTGGTAATTTTGTTTGCAATGAGGCACCCTTGCTCATTCAGAAGAATCCCAAAAGGCACTAAAGATGTTAATCTGTTTTTACCATGTAGCAGTGCTGGCAGATCCTGTGGTTCTTCAAGTTTCTTACAGATCTGAGTCTTAGAGTCTAGTCTTGCTTTTATGCTGTCTGTCACAATAATTTGTCATAACATCCACACATTTTTTGATGAATTTATAGAACCTCTTAGAGAAAGAAGTATGGGAGTGAACATACTTAAGTGCTGGAATTATCCAGTGACTTGACTTTAAATACAATGGAGAATTAAGAACCAAAATACACGGGGGAGGGGGGGAGCTGGAGAGAGGGCTCAGTGGTTAAGAGCACTTGCATGCTCTTTCACAGGTGCTTCCCAGCATCTTCCAGCTGCAGGGATCCAATACCCTCTTCTGGCCTCTACAGGCACCTACACGCACATGTGTACACAAACATGCAGAGGTACACACATACACATTTTTAAAAGATTTTACTTTTAATTAATTGTGTATGTGTGTGTGTGTTCGTGAGTATGCACATGTACATGCCCACACAGGCCAGAAGAAAGTGTTAGATTCTCTAGAGCTGGAGTTAAAGGTAGCTGTGAGTTGCCTGATGTTGGTGCTGGGGACCAATCTGGTCTTACGTAAGAACACAGTGAGCCATTTCTCCATTCTCAAATAATAAACTTTTTTTTAAAAAAGGGAAGAACCAAAATACAAAAGATTCATCTTTCTTCTCTGAATGTTAACTATATCTTAGCATATTCTTTTAAACTAAAACTTCCTTTTGAATACAAACTGTCATGGCTACCATGTAGTCATGTTTTCATTGGAACATTGTATATGCTAAAAATTGTCTTTTTCCACATTTTTCAATCTTTTTATTGACCAAGTTTCTATTAGAGTCTGGATATTCTGTATAACTTCCTTTTCTCCTCTCACAGCTTCCAGTTAGGGAGATTATCCCATTCATTTATGAACTTCTTAATAACTACAACTTTTCTGTTACTCTTTAAACAGTTCCATACTACTGAGGCATCAGTGAATACATGTGGAATATATATTTGTTTAAGAAAGTAATTCTGTCACTTACAGGACTATAACTCTGGACCAGGCAACAGATAGTGCAAAAATAATTGGAAAAGCTACTCTAAACATGTTTCATACAATGAAACTAAATATCTCGGATATGAGAGGGGTAAGTATATGACATTTAAAAATTCTTTCGATGTTTTAAGCCCTATTTGAGGCATCACCCAAGGTTGGTCATGTTGGAATATAAGGGAGTTGTAGTCAGGTTTTATCTTCTTTGATGTGTAATACAAGAAAGGAAACAGAAATGTTCAACTTTTTTTCATCTAATGTGACCTTAGTTTCATGAGAGGTCAGATGTGTTATGAAGACTTTTTTTTTTAAACTTCAGTACTGGGCAAGCACTCTACCTCTGAGTTATATTCCCAGCCCTACAAAAGCTAATTTTTATATGCTTTGTCTTGTTCTTCCTGTTTTTGTTTCCATGGAAACAGATGGAGCTCTGAGGACTGTTGAGTCCATCCATCTTCTCCCTATAAGGCCTTCTTAATCAGGTCATTTTCATGTCTGCAGTGATCCAGACAGGAGAGAAACAACAGGCACTGAGGGTGCCTGTGTTCCTTAGGACAGATAGGCAGAACATCAGCGTGCACATGTTCAACACAGGCCTTTACAGGACTAATTATTTATATAGTACATGAAGAAAGTGCTCAACGTGCTGTGGATTTTGATGAAGAATTAAAGTCATACAGCAGCTATAACTGGAATTTCCCCTAAAGCACTGTATAATAGTTTTGTAGTAGGATCTAACTACCTTTCATTGCTCATCCTTTTAAAAGAGATTTTTTTTTTTTCTTGGAGACAGGATGTTTTGTGGGACAGCCTGGCTTCGAACAGTCTTCCTTCCCTATCCTAGTTGTTTTTTAAGGTAAATTTTCAAATAAGAAAATGAGGGTTAACCAGGCTTGTGGTAAATAACACTGCCACCTAGACACTATCTCTCCATTACTTCTTTAGGGGAGAGATTGAACTCTGGGACTTGATCCTGTTAACTAAGTATTCTGTAATTCATAACACCCTGGCCTGCCAATTTTAAACAAAAAAATCCTATTTTAAAGCCTCATTTGGGGCTAGAAAGATGGCTTGGGATAACAGCACTTTACCCCCACACCTGAGAGACTAAATGAGTTGGATCCCTAGAACTCTAGAATCAGGAGAGAACTGACTCCTACAAGTTGTCCTGTGATCTCTGTGTGCACTTGGCTCCCCTCCCCAAATAAATATAATAAAGCTTTAGCCAACTAGAACACCAGTGTAATACAGAGATCCACTAGTTCAGATTCAGTTTTAGAGATATTTGCATAAAATCAGATAGTCTTGAGGATTCAAAAGAACTACTTAAAAGCTCATCTAGTAGTTCTCGTAATAAATCATATAGCAAGTTGGTTGGTTTGCATAGTTGCATTCACTCCTTTATTCTAGAAACAGGGTCTAGGTGACAGCATCAAAAGAGTCACTGAGAATTTTGCTTAGTTGAATTCTTATTCTCACTTTTGTTTTCCTAGAAACATTTTCTTTATTCTGGTTCTAGGTTGGGATTCAAGTGAATCAATTGGTTCCCACTAATCTGAATCCTTCCACATGTTCCAGTCACCCATCAATTCAGTCAAGTCTCTTTCCTGGTGGGTCACATTCTGTCCGTGATCTCTTCCAAGTTCAGAAAGCTAAGAAACCCACAGAAGAGGATCACAAGGAAGGTTGGTAGTTGTGTATTCTTGTATTGTCACTTTGTCCATAGGGACATAAATTTTTTATTTTTTAAAATTTCATGTTTATGAGCGTATTGCCTGCATGTGTGTAAATGTACCTGTACTCTGCAGTGCTCATGGAAGTCAGAAAATGGCATTGGATCCCCAGGAGCTGGAGTTATATGGATGGTTGTTAGCCACCATGTGGGTGCTGGGACTCAAACCTAGATCCTCTGTAAGAGCAGTCAGTGCCCTTGACTGCTGAGCCATCTCTCCAGCCCCAGGGACATAATTTTTAAATTATCATGGCTATATGTTCTCGTTTTAGAAGTAAATTTACATTCTGAATTATGATGAATCAAATGAAGCTATTTGCAATGCATGGGGGGAAGTCACTAAGTTTCAAAGGGGTTTTTCTCTTTTTCCCCTCTCAGATGAGTTAAAGAGGTATTTGATTTGGGTTTTTTTTTTTGTTTGTTTCTTCCTCTCTCCTTATACTTGTAGTATTTCTGGCTGCTGTGGATCTGGAACTATCACCTGCCTCTAGAGCTTGTACTTTGTTGTCACCCTTTTCTACACATCTGGCAGCTAGTGTTCCTGACACTAACAAAGGCGACTGTTCAAAGAAATGGAATGGTTTGCATTCTCCAATCAGTGGGCAATCAAGACTTAACCAGAGTATAGAGATCCCATCACCTTCCCAGGTATGTGTTTATACAAATGAAAATGATTTGATTAATGCATTTCATGACGTCTTAATACATATGTCATTTTACGTTTCATTTCCCTTTCCCTGTGCCCCTTGACCACTTCCATCTGGCTCCCTTTTTACTAGCTGCTTCTGCCTTGTGCTTTTTGGGTCCCATGTATTCTATTCTCTATTTCCCATTTACCTTACAGTCTCTTCTACTCGTATGATCCCCTATAGTTTTGTGACCCTCCCCCCACACACACAGGTGTACACGTATAAAAGAAAACAATCAGTAATTCTCTCACTTTGTTCAGCATGATTTTCAGTTCCACTCACTTTTCTGCAAATGTCATGTCATTTTCCTTTATGACTGCATACAATTCCATTGTAAATACATATTCTCTTTTTTTCCTTCATCTGTTGATGGACATGAGCTTGGATGTACATTTCTGGTATGGTGCAGGTATTTATGTAGATCCAAGAGTAGCATAGTGGAATTGTATAGTTCTCTTTTTGGTTGAGGAGTCTCAGTAATTTCTGTAATGGCTACACCAGCTTACAGTCCCACCAGCAATGACTGAGTTCCTCTTTTCCCATATCCTTGCAGCATTTTGTTTCCTTGATTACAGCTTTTCTGACTCTGGCGAGATAGAATCTCAAGGCAGTTTTAATTTGTGCCTTCTATTTCATGGATTCTTGGGGGTTTGGTCTCTTGATATCTCAGTGTTCTTCGACTTTGCAGTCATCCACGTTCCTGAACCCCATTAATGCTTGAAAATAGTATTTCATCAGACATGTCTTTCATTTCTAATACCCTTTCTTTTGCTTGGCTTTGTCTCTTGGTGATGCTTTCCACTTTTTATAATTCATTGAGTTTTCATTTCCTGTGTATGTGAATGCATATGTACATGCTCTGTGCATGCATGTGGAGGCCAGAGGACAATCTCAGGTATCATCCTTAGGGACACCGTCTACCCTTCCTAGGGTCCCTCATTGGTCTGGAGTCCACCAGTTAGTCTAGACTTGTTGGCCAGCAAGTCTCAAGTATCCTCATCTCATCTTTCCAGCACTGTAATTACTAACTGCACTGCTGTATCCCCCATTTTTATGTAGGTTCTGGGGCTCAAACTCCTCAGGTGCACTTGCAAGATAAACACTTCAGCAATTGAGCTATCCCTTCCCCCATTTCCAACAGTTGTGGTTTTTGTGTTACCCCCAGCCCCTCATTTTCGTTGATGAATTTCTCTTGAAAATGACATCTTTCATTGCATTAGAATAAGAAAGGGAAGAGCTGGAGAGATAGCTCAGGGGTGAAGAGTATGGCTGCTCTTGGAGAGGAGGGGTTTGCTCCCCAGCACCCATATGGTGGCTAATAACCTTCAGTACCTCCAGTTCCAGAGGCTCTGATGTCCTCTTCTGGCCTCTGTGAGTATTGCATGACACAGGTGCACTTATACATGCAGATGAAACACGCATACACATAAAATAAAAAACTTTAAAGACTGCTTGTCCAGATGTATCATGATGCTGATAAAGTCTAGATAAGCAGTAATTAGGTAGCAGTGCTTTTGCAAAGATTTGCAAGTTTTGTAAGTTGTAAAGCATGGCTAAAAGAGTACTCCTGTGAGCTGCCACTGTCTGCAAGAGTGGTGATCGTGTGGATTTGATAGTATTGAACCAAACAGCTTTGAGTTGTACTGAACTAGAGGCCTATGTCAAAGGGTTTTAGTCAAGGGCCCTCTGTTAGAGGTGTAGGCTATGAGCTGTATACATGTTGGCTTCCTTTACTCCTTTGAAACCACAGCACTTAAATTTAAGCTCTAGGAAGAAAGTTTATCTGTAAGCCTTTCTATTCATGTAGTAAAAGTCTGAAGGATATACAAATGCTTCCTATAGTTCTAACGCTTGCAGGTGCAGGTAACAGGAGGACCTGGAGAATAGAAGATCCTTGTGTATTCTTACAAATACCTTTTAATTTGGTGTTTTAAGTCTAGGCTAATTATTTGTATTTTTGGGTAGTCTCCCATCTAAAAAGTTTATTTCTCATCCAGGACTATGTGCCCATTTCTGTAAATTTAGCATTAGTCACTTAAGTCCTGCCATGGTTTTGCTCATAGTGCACGGAATTCTGTGAATGAATGTGGACTTTCCTAGTGCTGTGCCGCTGGCTCAAAGTACCAGCACCTTCAGACTCTTAGCAGCCTTCAGTAGCAAAATGTCACGATACTCCAAATACGTACTGACTCGGAGGAGTGGTAGGTTTTTGAAGCCCAGTGGCCCGCGGCGTTAATGTTTCCCCATAACCCAATTTATGAGTGTACTAACATCAGATTCACATTTGGTGTTTTATAGCTTGATCAGTCCGTTGTAGAAGCTCTTCCACCTGATCTCCGGGAACAAATAGAACAAGTTTATGCTGCCCAACAAGGAGAGCCACGTGGCAACAATAAGAAGGAACCAGTAAATGGCTGCAATTCAGGGATATTGCCACATCCTGTTGGTGCAGTTTTATTACAAATACCAGAATCTCAAGAATGTAATAGTGATACAGGAATCAATGTTATAGCACTTCCAGCATTTTCACAGGTAAATTAATGTGAGGGACCTTATGTCATCCTTTCCTCACTCTTCCAGGTCAGATCTCACCTAGCCTCTGTGTCCTAACTCTTGAGCAGCTCACACTATACACCACTGGGGCTGGTGGCCTGACTTCATCACCTGTAGGACACTGGTTGGCCAATTATCCCAGTTCTGAAGTAGGCAAGTCAGCACCAGGGGGTAGAGAAGTGGGAGGCTGTGTATATGGGGTGTGGGTTTCTAAAGTGTCTGTCTAGAAGAACATACTCATTTCCCCTTGTGTTGGCCAGTGTAGATCATTGAGCCACGTGGTACTAAGATGGAGATGTATAGTCCTGTATAAAGGACAGCAACTCAACCTGTGTTCCTGTTTGTCTTCCCATTTTCCTTTGGGTGTCACCTAGCACTCAAACCTAATTCCTTGTTTTCTCAATAGTTTTGGAAGATAAGACATAGCTTTGATATTAAGGACACATTAACAGCTCATACAAATTGTCATTTGAAAACAAAGTCTCCTTTTTGAAAAACAAAAACTAGTTACCATCTAGAATTAACTCAGGTTGACTTTGACTTTCTCTTTCCACTAGGTGGACCCTGAGGTCTTTGCTGCTCTTCCTGTTGAACTTCAAAAGGAGCTGAAAGCAGCATATGATCAAAGACAAAGGCAGGGAGAGGACACTGCTCACCAGCAGATAGCTGGTATATCTGGTAAGCCAGGCAAATACAGGTCATGGAAAAGGTCCCAGTAATGGCATTGTGTTAATCTAGCAATAGCTCTTCATCCTGGAGAGTACTTGAACTGAACAGACGTAAACAGGAATGAGTATTGCAAAGTGCTAGCTGGATTATTACTTAAACTGATCTTGTCTGAAAAGTCTGTGGAAGATTATTATCAAAAGTTTTTTGAATGCTTCTCAAGCCAGAGATGTCCTAGAAAGAATCTGGAAGCTTCTGGACATGAATCCTTGAACTTACTTTCAGAAAAACAACAGTCTTGAGCATATATCACTAACAGGCTGACTTTACCTGTTGGATTTTTCCTTTAGTCCTTCTGATCACCCCATTACACACCAACAGCATGCTCAAGAGCAAACTAGTAAGTGGTTGAGTGGAGATGGAAAGAACTGCCTGCACTTTGGACCTCCTGCTCTTGGCAGGTGTTACAGAATGGAGGTGCTGCAAGGTGGGGTTGTATCTGGAGGGCAAACAACCCATGGTATTATCTAGATTCATAATGTTGAGCATCTTGTATCTCTTGTTTTAGTGCCGAAGAATCCTTTACTTCAGCTAAAGCCACCAGCAGTAAAAGACAAGAAAAATAAGAAGAAAAAAACCCCTATCACTTCCCCCCAAAAGGTACAGAGTCCTTTGAAAAACAAGCTGCTTAACAGTCCTGCAAAAACTCTGCCAGGGGCCTTTGGGAGTCCCCAGAAGTTAATGGACGGTTTTCTAAAACATGAAGGAACAGCTGCAGAGACACCCCTGGTAATTGAAAAAAAAAAAAAAAAAAAACTTCATGCCCTTTATCAGATGATATTGTGTAAATACAACATTCTTATCCTTTATTTTCTTAACAGGAAGAACTCTCAGCTTCCACTTCAGGTGTTCAGGGCCCTTCTAGTTTGCAGCCTGACCATTCCTGCTTTGTTAGACCTGCAGCACCCAATTTAGCTGGAGCTGTTGAATTCAATGATGTGAAGACCTTGCTCAAAGAATGGATAACTACTATCTCAGGTTAGGTTGGCACATGTCTGAGTGTAGTGGTCCTAGGATTAAAAAACATGAACTGACCACACAGATGGCTCTTTATCAGCCATCTCTACTTTTTTAACTTGTCATTTGCTTTGAAAGTTTCACACTTTGGTCCTCATTTGAGGTTTTCTTCCTCTCTAGATCCAATGGAAGAAGACATTCTGCAAGTTGTGAAATACTGCACTGATCTTATAGAGGAAAAAGATTTGGAAAAACTTGATCTAGTTATAAAATACATGAAAAGGTATTTTACTCAATACTTTAAAGGAAGGAGAAAAACAGCATGTCACAGCAGCTAATGTAAAGGTGTATGAATAGAGCAAGTTTTTAGTGCTGGGTTAAACATAAAGACAAAAACAAGGCCCTTTTTTTTTCCCGCATAGAAATGCCATGTTGATAGGGCAGTAAGTCAAAATGAGTTCATGACCCTCAAGGTTTATGTCTAATGTACAGACCAATATAAAATGCTTTTTTTTCTTATTTGTTTTAGCCAAAATCAGATTTGTTATTTTGAGATGTGGTCTCACTTTATAGCCTGGGCTGGCCTTTGAACTTGGTGAACTGTGATTCAGGAGTCTGTTTTTTATACACTTAAGAAATAACCATGAACCAATCCTTGAAGGAGGAAATGAGTTTTGGAGCTCTTTCCTAATGCTGTTTCTTTTCTCACCTTCAGGTTGATGCAACAGTCGGTGGAGTCTGTTTGGAATATGGCATTTGACTTTATTCTTGACAATGTTCAGGTGGTTTTACAACAAACTTACGGAAGCACATTAAAAGTTACCTAAATATTCCAGAGAGCCTGGTGCTCTCTGCTAGCTGTGCCATAAGTGCTTGTGAGGTATTTGCAAAGTGCATGATAGTGATGCTCTGAGTTTTAATAATTTTAAATTTCTTTTTAAGCAAGTGTTTTTGTATATTTCTTTGCAAAAAGTGCCAAATTTGTCAGTATTGCATGTAAATAATTGTGTTAATTCTTTTACTTGTAGCATAGATTCTATTTACAAAATGTTTGTTTATAAAGTTTTATGGATTTTTACAGTGAAGTGTTTACAGTTGTTTAATAAAGAACTGTATGTATATTTTGTACAGGCTCCTTTTGTGAATCCTTAAAAATAATTCAGCTTTAGGAACCAGAAACTGTAAAAGTTGTTAACAGGTTTTGTGTTACGCTTTTACTTTTATTTAAAAAAATTTCTGTGTTTGTTTTGCCTGCATGCCTGTAAATGCACCTGTGTTGTGCAATGCTCATGGCGAACAGAACAGGGTGTTGGATCTCCTGGAATTACTGACATTTATTAGCCTGGTACCATGTAGGTGGTGGGGATGGGAATGGAAACCCAGGCCCTCTTTGAGAGCAGCTAGTACTCTTAACATGGGGTTGGAGAGATGAAGGCTCAGCTTTTTGAAATTGCTGAGCCATCACAGCCCAGGAGTTTACTTGTCCTGGTCCAAAGGAGAACCATGTTAATCATTTCTTTTCTCAATGAATACAAGTGAGAGAGAAGCCTTTGAGGAACTACATAACTTAGAACACACCCACATTTTTTTTTTTCCTGTGAAAACTATGGCCCTTGAGAAACTTTTGATAGTGAAAATAGTTTTTCAAACACATAAAACCTTTCTATTGTGGCTGGAGAGATGCCTTAAATGATTAAGAGTGCTCCCAAGAGGATCTAGGTTCAATTCCCAGCACCCACAAGGTGGCTAACCACTATCCATAATTCCAGTTCTAGGGGATCTGCCATCCTCCTGGCCTCTGGGCTTTGCACAGCATGGATACACTTACACACATCCAGGCAAAACACTCATACACTTAAGACTTTATGTGTAATAACACTTAAAAAGTTTGTAATTCCATAGTAGTGAATACTTCAAACACCCCATTAGGTATTCTCACATCCAACACATTTCTTTAAAAGGGCATTGCCTCACTTACACCTGATTCCTCAGGGATCACCACAGCTAGCTATTACTCTCATGAATAAGTGACTGTGCAGCCTCTCCAAAACTCAAGAGCACTAACCCTCAGCATTTAATTCCCTATTGCCATTTTTCTCATCAGAAAATGATGGGATTTTCTAGAACAAAACAGACTGAGATTAATGTATTTTTAAAATCCATTCTGGTACTGCAAAGTTTGGTGAAATAATCCTCACCCTGGGAATGTTCTAAGGATGAGAGCTACACTAACATGGAAGCCTAACAGCTTGCTGTGTTGTCTCTTTATTGGCAGTTTGGAATTGTGATGATTACAATGGACTCTCATGACCTGTACAAGCAGTAAAAAGCAGCCAGCTATGCTTTACACCATGGTTGCACACGAAGCAGATGATCAACACCAGAGTGCCTAAATTTTCTATTTAGAAAAATCCCTAGGAGCATACGGCAGGAGGATGCTGGGGAGGGTAAAAAAAAAAAAAAAAAAAAAGTCACACTGGGAAGAATATGTATAAATAAAGACATTTCTTACACCAAAAAAATTCCAAAACCAAGAATCACAAAATCTGCAGAAGCTTGGTTAATCAAATACTGCAGGACTGATTTAATCAGTATAAAATTGAAAGAGCTTTAGATTTGTAATAAAAATCCAAATTTGAGGAAGAGCAAACTTGAAAACAGCAGCCAAGTCTTCAGGAAAGGGTAGGTTGGAGGGTGAGTGAACAGGTACACTGGAACTGTGGGGACGGGGAATTGACCACTGTCAAACCAGTGTAAGTTGCTTGGTTTCTCATGGAAAACATTTTATACACCTAAGTCCATCAGCGTCCAGATACGTCTGTTCCGTTGGTGATATTACAATTACTTCAATTTCTGTCCCGTGGTAAAATTAGATGATTTCAAATACTTTCTTCAGCTCCACAATAAGCTGCCAGTCACTCTTCTGCATTTCATCTCTGAACCAGTCTTTGAGCGCATCAATGGACTGTCGGCTGATCTGCAATGCCCAAGGCACAGAGTAAACTGAACATAAAGGTTACCAAAGAAAGCCAGTGGTCCCACATGACTAAAGAAGGCTTAAACGGCTGGGCATGGTGATGCATGCCTTTAATCCTAGCACTCAGGAGGCAGAGGTAGGTGGATCTCTGAGTTCCAGGCTAGCCTAGTTAACATAGCAAGTTCTGGGCCAGCCAGGAGGACTACATACTGAGACCCTGTCTTAAAAAACAAAAGCAAGCCGGGTGTGGTGATGCATGCCTGTAGTCCCAGCACTTGGGAGGCAGAGGCAGGAGGATCTCTGTAGTTCAAGGCCGGCCTGGTCTACATAGTTCCCAGGACAGCTGGGGCTACAGGGAGACCCTGCTTCAAAAAGAACAACAACAAAAAAGCAAAACCCAAAACTTAATATGAAAGAAAAGCCCTGCTTCCCTTCCTTAAGAAACAGCCCATCCACCTGTGACAGTCTCTGGGATTGTCAGTGGTTCATCCCTCTATCAGAAAACAAATGTTAAGGAAGTGCCACCATGTTTTCCAAGTCCACACTTTAGTCTTCAGAAATACTGACACAGGTCACCAAGACAACTAACATTTCTGAATGTCTGGCACGTCCAATGAAATACTTACCTTACTGACAAGAATGTCCGTAGCTTCGAAATGTCTCCCGAACATCTTGGGAGATTCACCAGGGATAGGCTCTATTTTGACACAGACTTCTTGTCCTTTTTTTGCAACATCTACTTGCTTATGGTTTATTTCAATACTTGTTACTATCCCAATGTCAACAAACTGTACAGTGAGAACAGAAAGAACATGTCAGAAGAAATGTATGCTCTCCACAGACTCCATGACACACGAACCTGATATGTAGCCCTAGGACTATCACGATCTCCACAGAACTTCTCAGTACCACCCACCTGTCCTGTACTCTTCACAAGGTGACTGCAAGGACAAAGATCACTGATGCTCTGAAGATTTACATGTCTTAATGATCCAGTGTCATTCTGTGATCCTGCTCTGAACATTCATGCTGTCATAGGGAATAGCAGACAGCAGGTTTCTCAGCTAGGAATAAACTGGTTAAGCACTGGGGATGATGGCAGAAAAGTAGTCAGGGACACACATCATGCAGTTTTAAAAAGTTATGCATAAGAAAGAGGCATACTTGGGTAGAAGCATGGCTGCTTTATGGAGACACACACAGGAGGGTCTCTAAGTGAAGAAGTATTTGGATTATGGAGCCAAGGTTACACAAAATTACTGTAGGTTATGTCCTAGTTCACTGAGATAACAGAAGCAATGCCAAGTGCCACTAAAGGAATAAGGTTCCAGGAAAACAAAGTATTAGATGAGCCTGGAGAGCACGTCACTGTCCCAGAATAAAGTTTCCAAGGACAGGTGCCAGCATATTAAGCGTTAACTACCACATCTGTCAAGTCAAAGGTCTGTGAAGACTTGGTAGAAACACTTAGAGGTGGGGAAGAAAGATCACAATTTCATAACCATTACATAATAATTGACTTAGGCAAGGACTGCGATGGATAATCTGAGGTAAAAGTTTCTGAGAAACAATGTTCACATGGACTGCAAGTACCAGAAGGAACCCTTCCTTCTGATTTAAGTGTCTTCCTCAGGAAGTGCAAATCCGGGTGAGACAAGACAGCTGCATAACAAGGAGTTAGAATTCCCTTGTAGGTTCCTTTCCAGTAAGTCTAACCTGTATCTAGTGAAGACGGAACAGACAAATCCAAATGAGGAATAAGCCCAGAGAAATGGAGTTAACAGAGACATCCTTGGAACAACTGACAAAGGATTGCAACTAGGGTATTCCTGAACTTAGGTAAAATGTTGTGAGATATGCTATCTAGGGGAAACATATGTCCTGAGATCAGTTTAATAATGTCGTGGAACAAATTACGGAAGGTTGACTGCTCTGCTTGTTTTAAAGTTTTGTTTCCCTGGCCTTTGTTTTTTTTTTTCTGTTCAGAAAACATCAAACTTACATTTTTGCTTGGGACACACATAGGTGTCCCTTGTTTCACTTGACCTGCCTCCACAGTCACCCCCATGACTATTGGATCTCGAGAATTAAAAATGTACTGAGGGAGGATTTTCATCTTGCAGGGAAATACTGCTATGTGTGTGAATTCTTCTTGTTTCTGTTTCTTATAGTTTAAAAATGTACTGAGGGAGGATTTTCATCTTGCAGGGAAATACTGCTATGTGCCTGTAAGTAAAGTAAGGAAAGAAAGAAATTTTAAGCTTACAGCAGATACAGATAAATTTTAAGCTTACATAAAAAGCAGACATGCATAAAATGCAAATGTAGATGAACACAGGTTTCTTCACAGGTGACAGCAGGTTTCTGTAGACGCTGCTGAGAGGAGCCCCCACAGCTCATGCTGCTACTGCCCTCATCTTCCTCTGCGCTTCCCATGTCTTTTCTCTTAAAGATCCAACTTAGTTCAAAGCTGCATCAAGGAACATTTTGTGCCCAAACTCGACGGTGGAGAGCCTGGCCTAGAAAGCAGGTACTTTGCCAGCCACACCCTGGGGCTCAGAACATGGGCAATAGCAGCTGACCATGTCTGCTACACAGCACATCAGTAATCTTATTCGGGGAACATAGTAGTCATTGTCTATATGCTTCTCTAGCATCTTCTGAGAGTGTTACCCAAAACCAATTTAAATCCTTGTGCCACTCTAGTCTGAGCCACCTGGTAATTTTTCCTAGACAATGGAACCTCTTTTTTTTTTTTCCCCTTTTTTCTTTTTGAGACAGGGTTTCCTTATAGGCCCAGCTGGCCTGAAACTCACTTTGTAGACCAGTCTGGCCTCGAACTCACAACCTCTGTCTGCCTCTGCCTCCCAAGTGCTGGGACTAAAGGCATGCACCACCACACCTGGCTGACACTGGACCCTCTTGAGAGGCTACTTGCCACTGACTTCCTAAACCTAGTTCACATAACAAGAATGACCACCAGTCTGATCATTACTATACACCCTTGGCAATCGATGGCTTCTCATAATCCCCTATTCTTCTATAACATGGGCCTTGCCAACCTCTCCAATATTCCAATTACCTTGGTCTCTGCAATATACTAGGCCAGTACGGCTGCTTCATCTTTGACCCCAATGCTGCCTCAGTTGCTGTTCTGCTTCTCTGCAACCCCCTCCACATGCCTGAGTTGCTTCGAATTGCTGGTCCTAGTGAGAGGCCCAGAGAGGAGGTGCCTTCCCCACTACCAATCACAGTCCTTTCTCTGTTTTGTTTTATAGCGCACCTCTACTCACACACTTACTGTTTGCCTTTTCCAATGACATGGAGACCCTGAAGCCCAGGAGGAGGAAGCCTGGCTAGGGCTTTGCAGATGCCTAAAGCATCTTCAGTAGCATGGACACAACCAACATGCAAGAAGTGTTGAGGAATAGCATTTGTCTCCCACAGAATCCCTTGACTTGTTTCCCAATTTGCACACATTGATTTAGCAACAAGGTCTGTATTAACAAGACCTTAGTCTGCCAAATTGAGAATAAACAAAGAGAAAAGGCCCTAGACAGGACCTGTTCACACACCACTGGAATACCTGTCCCAGATTACAGTTTCTGGTTTATAAAACCCCACTTCAGGATATAGCCTCTGGTAGATAAAAATGTCAAGCTTTTCTTGTCTGCACTCCTTGTCAGTATTAGTAATCCTCAACTAACTGCATCACCAAATATTCAAAGTAAATAAAAACACCAACTTACTTGAATTCTTCTTGTTTCTGTTTCTTATAGTCTTGTCTGTATTTAGTAAAGGCATCAAATAAATGATAAATAATTTCTGCACTAAAAATTCTAACTCCTAAACTATCAGCCATTTCTTGTGCGTCCCGTTCAATTCTTACATCAAAGGCCAAAATTACTGCGTATCTGAAAGGTTGAAACACATCAAAGATCATTCAATGAGTAAGTCACAGTGAACAGTCTGAAGATAATCATTAGCAGAGGAAAAATTACTTACTGAGGATCATGTTCCAACATCACTGAAGCCTTCATAACATCTTTTTTATGGACTGGGCCAATGTTAATTCCTGCATACTGCAAAAAGGAAGTTTCCAGTTTACCTGCATGCAGCAGGTAATAGGAACAACTACACACCATGACTACCACTCACTTGTAGAGCTGCGTACAATTACTTACGGGCACCTCTGATGTTTTCAGAAATTCAAGTAGAGCTTCCAAAGAGCCCAGAGTGGATGCCTGGACATAAACTCCTTTTTCTTCTAATTTGATAGCATTTAGTGTCTGCTTTAACTCATGGATCAATTCATCCTTGAAAAGAAATCAAATATGACAAAACACACCTCTATCTTCAGCAGCCTAGTATTAAACTGTTTTCCTCTTTGGTTATGTACTCCGCTGAAAACATAGAACTAAGGC